TACTTTCTTCAATTATAAAGGTTCCTTAGAAATATTTTTAAAATACAAATCTTGTTGGAATAGGTATATTTTTCCTAAATTACAAGTTTCTTTAGAAATATTTATTCTTTAATATAATTTCTCCTAAGATATTTATTGAATACAAATTGAACAACATTTGACCTGATCCTCACTTTTTATGTGATGGGGTATGTAGGCAACCTAGGTCACTCTTAGGTTCGGTCACATCAATATCTAAAATATATATTCTTTTATAAAACTCATATGTTTAAATATATATTTTACAAGCTATTAAAACATTAACCTTATTTTCCTATAATATGGATGAATCTTATAAACCATTATTGAATAAAGCATAAACGTTAAAATTATACATATTCATCTTTAGGAATGCAATATAGAAATAAGGTAACCGCACCCCATGGCCTAACACCTTCCCCATGCACAACCAAACCCCCAGGTCCACTAATCTAGTTTTCGTAGACTAAATGGATGTCAAATATGTTAGGGCCCAAATTAGACCTCTTATGTGTCCATCTATTTTTCCAAAGTTCTTAGACACCATAGGTGACCTAGCACACCATAATCCTATGCTAGGTGGCGACTCTGATTACTAATAAATTGGCCCTACACCAAATAAATAATAATTGGCCATAGCCACTCCGTCGTATTAAACCCATTTTTTGACCCCATAAGTGTTTAATATAACCCTATAGAGAGGTTGGGGAAAAATCCGGGTGCGACAAAGAGTAAGGTTTGGTACGGGCATTTTTTGAAGAGTAAAAGGATAAAATAAATATTATATTAATTGAGGGGTGTTTTCGTACAAATTTAAAAGAATAGAGATATTTTTTGCACACCTTTTTAAATAAGGGATAAAAATCATATAAAAAATATACTTCAGGAAGTGTTTTTTGCACTTACCCCTTATTAATTATAATAGCTTATTAATATAAAGTTTGTCATATCTTTAATATCACATGAACCATATATTTTGCAATACTCTCTTCTTTACAATCATGTGGCCAGTTTTCACGCTAAAAGAGACAATTGTTTGGCAATAGCAGGATTTTAGTGTTAAGAAATAAAAAATCATTTAAAGGAGTAGAAAAAAAAAAAAAAATGGGAAAAAAATGTAAGAAAAATGATAACTTGAAGAGTAAAAAAAATTAAAATTTAATTTAACAAGAAAATTTAACTTTTTTTAAAGGAATTTAAAGAGTAAATGAGGAAAAAACTAGAAAATTAAGAGATAATTTTAGGGGGACATTTTAATTTTTTTTCCATACATAAACATGTAAAATATATCAAAAACTACCATATGTATAGTGGATGGGAATTAAATGCCCTTTGGGGACATAAATTGGCACTTGAGTCTTAGAGCATCTCCAATGCATAAAGTTATTTGTGCATGCCAAATCTATATTTTGAGGGGTGTTACAGTATCAAAATGATATATTTTAACAATTCTACTCCAATGATGCGTTGTTATTTTTTGACACAACTACCATTTTTTTATTCAACAATAATTCCCAACTTCCATTTTCAACTACTATTCTTTTTTTATTGCAAATATAAATAGAGATAGACGAAGGAAACAAACAAATTGATGAGAGAGAGATGAGAGAGAGAGAAAGAAGCTCATCATATTGATGAGAGATTGATGCACTGCTATTTCATCATATTCATCCGATCTCCGGTCGATTGTTAATCATCATCACCGCCGCCCTCTTCACCGGAGCTCATGCCACGACCTATAACCATGGCGACGGTGGAGGGAGCCACGATCGGACCACCCAGAACTACGGCTGTGCAACATCTTGGAGTCCTCCAGTGGGCCAAGATCGTCGAATCCGCCGCCGAAGTTCAGAATCCAATAACCGATCGTTGCAGATGAGAGGGGGAGAGAGATGACAGAGATAACGATATTGAAGGGCAGAGAAAGCAACAGGGAATTGAGGGAAATAGGAAGACGTTGCAGATGAGAGGAAGCGAGAGACGTAGCGATATTGAGGTACAGAGATAGCTATATTGAGGGATTGAGGGAAATAGGAAGAAACGGCATCGTAGGGCCATTAAACAGACTTGCCAAAAAAAATTGGCAACTCTTACATTTGAGAGAAAATTTGAGATTTTTAAATTTTGAGAGGCCAAATGAAAGGTCATTGGAGAACCCTTTTTACCCATCTCTCAAATTATGAGTTTGAGAGCCCAAAATGAAAGAGCATTGGAGATGCTAACATAGGTTTCAGCATGCCCGCATCAACTGTAATTAAATAGGATGAGCTTGCGGATTTAGTAGTTGAACAGTTTGTTTGGTTATCTAGAAATGCATTTTCCAATCATCACATGGGATGCTCTTGCACTAGATAAGGAATTCTAGACGTGGATTGTTAAAAAATGCTTTTACCTTTTTTCTTTATTATGTTGTTAGGGGATAAACTTTGTTTAAAGATTAAAAAGAACAAAGGTTATCAACTGCTTTTGATTTGTGTTTTTGCTTTAACTCGAATCAGAATCAGTGTTTCCAGTTTAGATTGTTTAATACTATTTCAAAATTATTTTGGTGACGTAAATTTGTTACAAGATTTTTGAAAGTAAAAATAAGAAAACATGTTTGGTAAATAAGTGTTACAAGTTTGAAAAATTAAATAACTAATTAAAAATATCATTTTAGATATATATTATTATTTATTTGGTGAACAGTGCTTTTGTTACCGTGGAAGTAACCAAAAGCATCAATTTTATGCTTCCACAATAAATTTTACCAAACATATTACTTTGTTACAGTACAATAACAAAAGCCAAAAACACAAAACACAAAACAGTAGCGGTTACCAAACATACCCTTAGGGCCTTAGCTTTTTCAATAACAATTATGGAATAATCAAATAGCAGCAAATTCTAAAACCAAAATCTAAGGATGGTTGAAAACTTTAGGGTGCGCTCCACTGAGATAGGTAAGTAGGTTTTGGGTTGCTATAAGTTTAGACCTTAGTGACCTGCAACAATTATTAGTAATGACTATTGTAATATATATACACACGCACACATTGTTGTTGCTGGCTTTTATTTATTTATTTATTATTATTAATTGTTATTCACTTGTAGTTATAATTCGTGTATCCGTTGATAAATGAATAATTGTGATCACTGTTCAAACACACTCTATAACAAAATGCTTGGTTTGTTTCCGATTAAAACAAAAACGCAAAAACAAAACCTGTACCAAACATGCTTTTTTTTTTTTGAGTAAATACCAAACAGTCCCTTTATGTGCATATAAGACTTGCATTTATACATCGATGAGGCAGTGTTGAAGAAGATTCAACATTTCCTTTCTAATATCCATTCCAACTTCTCATTTCCCTTCTCATGTTTGGTAAGCCACAATTAAGAAAAGAATGACCATTCCTCTTCAATAATTAATAGATGAGCATTATTCCATTGGCGCCAACTCTTGATCAAAGTTTTTCACTTTGTTGCTGCTGGAAAGCAACCAAGATGGAATCAGCACCAATCTAGGCAAAGCTCACCCACAAAAAAAGTAAAACAGATGGATGGTAATGAATAGATGGGCATAAATGGTCTCAACAATGCTATCAGTAAGCAATAACTTGAGGTTTATACCAATATGTGTGCCCAAACACATTGATTGCAAACTGTAAAAGAAATCTAATTCCCAGTGCAAAGCAGTGAAGTAGCATCAAGATGTTGTGCAAAGATGAAAGCACTCAAGTTACCTTAATAAAGTGACCCACTGTCTAACTCTTTTTAAAGTAGGTAAGCATGAGGGACCATATGACCAGATCTAGGGTACTGGGATAAGTACACTTCAGCTGGAATTGAGGTGGACTCTTTAACTTTTTGTTTTTCAATCTCTCTTACAAAATATTGAATTACTAAAAGTTTAGAGAGAGAGAGAGAGAGAGATTGCACACAAACTAATTAAAGGTCATTATCAGTGTATTGACAAGCAGGTTTTGGGAAGAGAAGACTGCCAACCTGATTGTTCTCTAGCAGGTTTTGGACCTCACACTCATGGGTCTCAAGACTCTTAACCTAGGAAGCATGGATATTTTCTTACGATCACCGTGAATGTATACATGTTAGATACAACTGAATACATATCTGATACAGCTAGAAAGTATCTGAATATATTTATTTTAAAATCAAATACGGCTAGATATTTTTGGGATATGGCTAGTTTAAATTATAAATATTCTTTAAAAAAGAAAAAGAAAAAAGAGAGGGACTAATTGGCATAATAAAAAAAGTTCATTATTCCTTCTAGAACTAGCATGTTGAGTAATTTTTATGAATTCTTTCATTTCACCTATTCGTACTAGAAAACGAGCTAATGAATCCCCCTCCTTTTGCCATTTGAGTTCCCAATCAAATTCATCGTAACACTGATCAACTTTACGAAGATCCCATTGTATTTCAGAAGCTCGTAGCATTGGTCCTAATAAACCCCTGGTTACACACCTTAAATAGGTTTAGCACTTTAGCTTATGAGAAGAAAGGGTTTAACAGGGAGTTAGAAACCAGAGAAATTTTTTTTTAAGTATAACTATTTCTTGGAATATTTGAAATTCCAAACAAGAAGTACAAGGGACAACTGTCTACCTCCACCAAACATGTTGACTATCATGAATGATACAAGTAACAAGGACCACCAATCTTGATTAAACCATATTGCATCTTTAGACAACTATTGAATTGAAGAGCACCATGAATGAATGGTCCTACTTTAGACAACCCCCACTGAATTCAATCATCTAACCAAAATGGGAGTGCTATGTCAAAAGGATTTTGTAATTTCTCACCAGTCATCAACTGAAATTCATTGCATGTTAACATTACTCAACAATGTAATACAAAATAATCATCTTTGACCAATATAAATATCATCAAATCATTGAACAACAATATAGGAATGATTAATGTCACCAACACTACTAATATAGAACCAGTTTTGACGAGTATAATATCATCAATGATCGAACAATATACAATATGATTATAATGTCAACAGGGAATTCCCATGATTACAATAATAATGTAATACAAAATAGAATGACCTCTGACCAATATGAAAATATAAATCAATATTACAACCAATCCTCACCCTGCAATTATTTTTCATTCACCAACACAACAGGAATCTAATCAACACGTTCATCGGTATTTTTTCTCCTTTTTTCTGATTATAAATAGTGTTATCTCCTATATTACATTGTTCAAAAATATATATAACTACCCTTGTCATACCTTAATGGCATCGTTGTTTACAGCGTGATGGTTGGCATCGAGGAGCTTTTCAAGTGATCTGGCTTTTCTACTCCGGACCCTGCCTGCCTCTTTCAATAACTCAGCCAACCTTTTCTTTTCATCATCAACATCCGGATTCGCTGTCCCAAGCTTTTCCTCTCTCATACCAACAACACGTTCCAAAATCTCAATTGCGTCATCCAACCTATGGGAAAGCAAAAAACACAAATGGATTCAAAACAGGATGCTACAGATAATCTGATTTAAATTACGTAATCCAACCTATATAAAACTCAACAAGCACAAATGCCACTCAAAAATGTAAAACTACATACTATCGGACTAGACTTCAAAAGTGAGTTGCTCAGCTTTACATAGCCTTATATATCAAAATACAAGTCTATGGCCTTATCATTTGTTTGGCTTTAGGTACAAAGTGTTATGTGAAAGAATTAAACAAGTCTAACCCCCATTGTTGGTGCTAGTAGTACCTGATATGGCCGGTGAATCATGTGTAAACAGCTTATTAAAGCACTAAAATGCAATGAATTGTTTCAAGATCAACCCCAATTGCTTTTCTTTTATTGAATTGATACTCAGCAGAACGAAAATAATATGCTGGTAATAGAAGAAGTATAAGAAGAGAGAGAGTGCAAACCTGCCAACTGCATCATAAGTACCAGCAAGATTGCTATATACCCCGAGTGTGTCTGGGTGATAAGGTCCATACTCTTGCTCCAAAATACTCTTTGCTTCTTCAAACAATTCTGTAGCCTCGTTTATAGCATAACGCTGCACACAAGCTAGCCCCATTTGGTTCAGAGCAATACCAAAGAAGGCAGATTTCTTCTCTCCACTTGCCCGGAGCTTTGAAATGGCATTCTTGAAGGAAGTGTAAGATTCAGAGTATTTTCCCAACATATAATACACAACTCCCATCTGTGCTTCAATTCCTGCAATTGTGCTTTGCTGACCAGGGGCATCATTATATATCTTTAGTGCCTTCTGTAACAACTTAAGTGACTGCTCAAGCTCGTTCATTGATTCATAAATAGCAGAAACATCAGTCAGACCACTGGCAATCTCCTCCGCAGGAATCCCAGGAAGGGGCTTTTCATAAATTCGAAGGGCATTTTCACAGTAGGACTTTGATTCCCTCAGCTTTCCCGTCCTGTTATACAAGTCGGCCAAACGGACAAACACTGCAGCAACAGCTGGATGATTCTCACCTTTGGTGGATTTGAAAGCTGTAAGTGCCTTCTGATAAGCAAAAACAGCCTCGTCATACCGAGCCATGGATAAGTAAGTGTCTCCAATGCTGCAATCCACGAACGCCACCTCCGTTTCATGGCCATTTGCCACCATGGCCATGCTAGCCAAGACCAGATGCTCAAGAGCAGCTTCATGATCTCCTTTTGTTTCGCATATAAGGCCCATGAGCCTCCTATCTGCTGCCTCTTCAAGAGAAGCAGGTGAACCATTCTCCCTATGTATGTCAAGTGCCATCTGACAAAGCTTCTCAGCCTCGTCAAATTGCAATGCCTGAACATTAGCTTCAGCCAGATACCTGCAAGTCTCACCAACTCTGGGATCTGTGTCTCCCAAAACTTGTTTCTGGACTTCCAAACCCGTCATGTAACAGGCTATTGAGTTCTCAAGTTGGCCCAACATTGCAAAAGTATCACCCAACTGCATATGACCAGCAAATTTAGCAAGGGCATGATCTTGTCCTTGCTCAATCACTGGGATCTCAATTGAATGCTCGAGCACTGGAATTGCCTCACTATACTGACCCAAATTACAGTATATTGCTGATGTTACATGCAAAGACATCACCACATCTAAACTCGGCTTCCCATTTGCACATTTCTCAAATGATTTTGCTGCTCTGAGAGCTAATTCGAGAGCTTTCTGGGGATTATCCCCAGAAGAAATCAAATCCCTTGCTTGCTTAAGGAGAAATGGTCCAAGATCTGGGTTATCTAAACCAGACTCGGATGAATCCTCAATTCCATTTTGTAACTTCACACCTCCTAAATGTGAATACCTCTGTTTTTTAATGGAGATGCCTCCTGCATTTGCTTTTCTCAAATTCTTATCATTCCACTTATCAACAGGAGGTTTCTCCTGCGGACTTTTGCTCTTAGACCCAGATTTTGATGATACTTCGGATTCCAGCAGCGAGTGAGAAGCTTTCTTTGCTTGTGCGGAAGGAGACTTGGTACTTGAAGATTGGGTCTTATCCAACTTCCCCGACTTCTTATCCACTGATGAATTCTCCCTCTTAGAAGTGGAATCACTATGACAATCATCCAAAGGCTTTTCCACCTCTTCATCCCCCACTATCTCCACCTCCCTCATCTCTCCTCCCACAAGATGGCGCAACTCCGAATCAATCCTAGACTCATCACCATCCGATCCAAAGCTAGGCCTCGATGGTGATTGATCAGAGCTCTGCATCTCATATACATTATCATAAAGCTTTTCAATTGAGGTGTCGACAACCCCATCAAAAGGGGCTCTAGCAGGGGCAGTCCGAGGACTTGAGGTGTCGACAACCCCATCACAAGGGACTCCAGCAGGGGCAGTCCGAGGACTTGAGGTGTCGACAACCCCATCAAAAGGGACTCCAGCAGGGGCAGTCCGAGGACTTGAGGTGTTGACAACCCCATCAAAAGGGACACCAGCAGGGGAAGTCCGGGGACTTTGCTGACTCAAAGGACTCTTCGGAGACCTATTTGCAACCGAATTTTCCTTGAGCAAAGTAGAATTCCCATTTTCAATTTTAAATTCATTCACTACCCCATCATCTTCATGTACTCCATCCATAACAACTCCAGGCATCTTACAAAATGCAAATCAATAAATAACTCCAAAGATCAAATAACTTATCTGCAAGAAATGTTTCAACAAAAAAAAATTCAAATTTCCCCATTATATACATACATATCTAATATATAGACATATATGCACATATATACTGGAAGAGATCCAGACCAGAGAGGCATATGATTTTACTCAATTTCCTAATTAATTACAAATGGCAGAATTCAATCCGTAAAATAGTTGAAGAAAGAACTTAAAACAGCAATAACACAAATTTAGATCTTCTACTATTAGAAGTTTCTATGTTTGTCTCTCTATACAAATATCTATATATATCTACATATATAACAAAGACAAAATATGTAATAACAGAACACAAAGTTTCCTAAACAGATCTTAACATATCATCAAATATAAATTCAAAGACCACCAATTCATCAAGAATTCAAGAATACTTCATAAGAAATGCATAAAAGTAAACAGAAACACATACCCATATAGAAAGAGAGGATATAAATCAAGAAAAGGGAAGGAAAAGTAACATGTAGTTGACTACACCAACTGATTCTATGAAAAGTTGATTAAAAAGGGTAAAGAGGGAACAAAAAAATTGAATTGAATTGAATTGACAGAGAATATGAACAGAAATGTTAAAAGAGGCCATACCTTAAAGACAACCCATGAAGGAGGAGACTTTGGGACGTTGTGGGTTTGTGTTTGTTTGTGTTATATAGACATAAAAAGTTAGAAACAGGGAAGAGAGAGAATTTATCCTTTGGTGAGGGGTGTGGAACAATGTATGTGTTTGATGAGGCATAGGAGGACAACAATTGGAATTCTGGTAAAATTTGAGGGCGATATGGGAACTTTACGGTGCTGGGTAGATATATATGTAGTGAGTATATTTTATATATATATATATATATATATAGAATTGTGGAGAGATATGGGAAGGTTGCAGAGGTGGAATGTCAGAGGAAGAGAGGGAGACTTCTCTCCTAACCCGGGCCTGCACCCGCCGATTTGTTCTCTGTTGGTTTGTGCCTTTCTGTAACTTGCCACGTGGATGTATTAGATATATATATATTATATATATTTAAAAAACAAAAAAAAAAAAAAAAGAATGGGACAATGAAAAATAATGAAAAATGATTTCTAAGACATTGCTTAAAGTGAATTGCCTGCTTGTAAATTTTGTATGCAAAATATAGGGGCTTTATATATATATATATATATTCTATTTAATTTGTAAGTTAAACAATTAATTCACTTTCAAAGTTGGACCATCACAATTCAAAAATAATAATTTGGCTGGATCATTGACTTTGGTTGTTTATTATTATTATTATTATTATTCGGTAATTAAACTTTGATTGGTTATTATAATCACATTTTCAATGACTGATTTATTTCTCTAATGAACTAACTGATTTACTCAAAATGCACATACATATATATATATATATATATAATATTCTTTTGTAATTAGTGGTCTATTCGACAAGTGCGGCACATTAAGTCAGGTTCAAATTCGGATTCAAAATCAATAATATCATATCATGCGATGGAATTGACTATTACAAATAATATCATAACCCAATTAAAAATGTAGCGAACAAAAATAAATAACTATGTTATGTAATCTATAGTTTAGGTACGATAATAAAACATACTCAAATTCAAAATCTACTCAACAATATTATATTACGTGAAGGAGTTGACTATTACAAAGTCATTCCGGTTGAAAGTGTAGCCAACAAAAATAAGTAAATATGTTCCCTTTTTATCATTAACATTCCTCCAAAATTCATGTGTAGCCAACAAAAATAAGTAAATATGTTCCCTTTTTATCATTAACATTCCTCCAAAATTCATTCATTCTAGATCCACACACAGTTTTCCATGTCTATTAAATGAAGAGTGATGCTATAGAACGATTAAAGTAACAAATGACCATTTCACTTGTATGACTCAATTTATGCTACATACACACTCTCTCTCTCTCTTTGTTTATGTTGTTTGTGCTCAAATCGTGAACAGTGCATTAATTTACTGGTGCATAGCAAAGCACATGAGACCATAACTGGTCTGCGTTGCCTTATCCACATGGAATAGACCACTCCTCCTTTGAGTTTTTTTGTTTTTTGTTTTCTTTTTGGCAAATTAGGGGAGTTCAACCAAGACTTCTCTTTCATTTAAAATGATATTAATATATATAAATCTTTTTATTGACAAGTACAAGTTATTACCATCAATAACTAAAATGTAACTAAATCTAGTAATACTTACATTTCAAAATAAAAAGTGAGAGGTTCAAACTCTCAAAGAAATAAAAAGTGGGACCGTGTATTTCTTGCTTAGGTAAAAAAAATAAAAATAAAAAATAAAAATAATTAATGCATAGTTTATCTAGCTCTCTCACATCTCTTTTGGATGTATTCCATCCCAGACCAGGATCTTCCTTTATGTTAAATGTCACCTACATTATTCTAAGTTAAATTTTAGACGGTTTATGATGTGTCACGTCATTCAATAATTTAAAATAATTGAAACGGCATAATTTAGAAAAACAATGTCCCATATGAAGTGGTGAATTCTAAGTCATGCATCAAAATATTAAAAATTAGGATTTTATGCAGCCCTAATAAAAAAATGTGGTTAATACTATAGTTTATGTGGACGGGACAAATTGGGTATTAAAAATTATGAGCATGGTGGCTTTGGAAACTTCAGATGCTGAGAGCCTAGATTTTGGTTGGGTTGTAAGTTAGGCGGGTTAGCCCAGTCTAATCCAAAAATTTTAGAGTTGGCCCTGTAATTTTAAAAACTCGGATTGAAAATTTTCAACCAGGCCTAATTCGGGTGGACATCGAGTTAGAACTATTGTAACTCAAGCCCAACCCGTCCAACTTGAAATGAGTTTTTTAACACCTTATTTTTACATAACCCTATACATCTGCTAGACCTTTGGGAAGTAATAAAAAAAAAAAAAAAAAAAAAAGTGACGAAGGCTCTGCTTCGTCAATATTTTTATGTATTTATGTGTGTGTGTGTATATATATATATATATATATATTTACATAACCCTAAATCTGCGGGGGTTGGAAAATGTCTAGTATAAAGTTGTGAGTCATAAGTCACGCATTGTTTAAAAAAACATCACAGGTGAATTTTTTAATAATTAAACATACGATAATGTAGATAAATTCAACTTAAAGAACCTGGTCCGTGTAAACAAAACAAACTGCGTGATATATACAGTTACATGCATACATAAGGGTCTGAACTATCAATTGTGAGATTGGTGATTTCGAATCATGGTTGCAATCACTTGTGTGACCACTACTAAACATTAGGGTTTTATGCAGCCCTAATAAATAAATAAAAAATGTGGTTAATACTGTAGTTTATGTGGACGGGACAAACTGGGTATTAAAAATTATGAGCAGGGTGGCTTTGGAAACTTCAGATGCAGAGAGCCTGGATTTTGGAGATCAAAGTTGAATGACTTTATGAATTATTATAGGGGTGTGTGAGTTTGGACTGAATGGTATTAGTACTTAATAATCTACTTCAAAAAAATTAATCAAAATTAAATAATAACGATTCTCCCCCTAGCGGCTAGCTCCCAAGAAAATTGTGTAACATATAAAGCACCCAACTACTCATGTGCATGAATTATATCCACTCACTATGTGACCACTTGCTATATATATATACACACACACGCACACATACATGTTAATCTCTTCATTATCTTATATTTTTTCCACTTAAAAGTCTTTCCAAGTTGTTTTTTTAGAACCGGAGGAATATACCATAGGGTGAAAGAGAAACAAATATTTTTTTTTTTTTTTTTTGTGGTCGTCGGCAAGAAACACACACTCAAATACACACATATGTGTTAATCTCTTCATTATCTTATATTTTTTCCACTTAAAAGTCTATCCAAGTTGTTTTCTTAGAACAGGAGGAATATACCATAGGGTGAAAGAGAACCAATTTTTTTTTTTTTTTTTTTTTTGGTGGTCGTCAGCAAGAAACACACACTCAAATACACACACACATATATGTTAATCTCTTCATTATCTTATATTTTTTCCACTTAAAAGTCTTTCCAAGTTGGTTTTTTAGAACCGGAGGAATATACCATAGGGTGAAAGAGAACCAATTTTTTTTTTTTGGTGGTCGTCGGCAAGAAACACACACTCAAATTAACATTGATACGTAAGGGCATCAATTCGTGTTTACGAGTCATGTTTGTGTCATGTCAGAGTACGAGTATTCTATTATATGGGTCGATACAAATACGACACAATTTTTATTCGTGTTAAGAATCTCTGCTACGAACACGACACGATTATTATACAAGACACGACACATGTAAATGGGACGGAACGACACGATAAGACATATTTCATTTATTTTTGACACGAGCATGACATGTTTATAGAACATGTTTAGCTTAACGGGTCATTTTTTATACCAACACAACACATTTTTTTGACATCTTTAGTTAAATGGATTGAAAACGTGTTGGCAAGTTAAACACGAATACGATACATTTAATTACCATGTTAATTCAAATCGACACGATTACAATACAAATATAATTAAGTCAAACACAAACTCACTTATTCCGTATAGAGTCAATGCAAATATTGTCATCCTATTGATACGTGTGAATATTATTATTATCCATCTCACCCTAGGTGATTAAGTGTTTTAGTCATCTGTGAGCGTATCTTATTACTATCCAAGCTTTCACCTGCTCAAAATCCTTAGCACCTGTCTAGCAGGTCAACATTGTCAATTGAAGTCTAGAAATTTGCACATTTAGGGCCTGTTTAGTAACACTTTTACTTTCTGATTTCTACTGCCAATTCCTAAAATTGTGAAGTAAAAGTGAAAATTATGTTTAGTATTTAATGAAGGAAAGAGAAAGTGAGGATTTGTTACTTTCCCTACTTTCTACATTGTTCACAAGATGTGTTTTCTCTACTGTAGCGTTATTAAAAAAAAAAAAAAAAAAATGAAACCCTCCAAAATTATTATCACCAATCGGTCGACGCTGCGTCCCCGACCATGGCCGCCGGCCTATCGCCGCCACCATCACCTCCTCCCCACCATAGCCACTGTCACAACCATCTCTCTCCTCTCTCATAAGTTTTGTGAGGTCAGATCTTGAAACCCATGGAATGAAGAGAGAGAGACTTTGGGATGAACTCCAGAGAATTCCAGCAAAACCGTGGCCGGAGGTGGTGATCGGAGGGCTCGCCGGAATTTGCAGAAACTTGCCGAAAGTTGCAGAGATCCGGGAAAAAAAATAAATAAATAAAATAAAATGAGAGAGAGAGACTTTGGGATGAACTCCAGAGAATTCCAGCTAAACCGTGGCCGGAAGTGGTGATCGGAGGGCTCGCCGGAATCTGCAGAAACTCGCCGGAAGTTGCAGAGATCCAGAAAAAAAATAAATAAATAAAATAAAATGAGAGAGAGAGAGAGAGAGAGAGAGAGACTTTGGGATGAACTCCAGAGAATTCCAGTTAAACCGTGGCCAGAAGTGGTGATCGGAGGGCTCGCCGGAATCTGCAGAAACTCGTCAGAAGTTGCAGAGATCCGGGAAAAAATAAAATAAAATGAGAGAGAGATAGTAGGGAAAGCAAAATTAAAATTAAGGGAAGGTGAGAGAGACAGAACCAAGTTTTGGTGTCTTGTGGGGTGGGGTGGGGTGGGGTGAGGTGAGAGAGAGAGACGGAAGTGGAGGGCGATGAGAGAGACAGAGATGTGGTTGGGGTGAGGTGGGTCTGTGATGAGTGGGGTGATAACAGAGACTGATGATATATATATATATATATATATATATATATAT